TGTTCAACTCCAGATATGTGTTTTTGTGAAATGAGTTCACTTGGCATCAGACGACCAAATACAATTCCCCGCTGACTTTAGATTCTCAGCGTAAGTTGCCAAAATGAAAGATCCCAGCTTTGTGAATTTGAAAGATTTGAGATGAACAGTCTTGTTTTCTGCTTCCTCCACACACCTGCTTCTAGTTTCTACCACACCTGTATCCTATTCACTATCACATCCTTGTTTTTTTAATGATCTAGGTTTTCTTTGTCAGATTCTCATATTTATTTTACATTCTGTGTGTCTCGCACACGAGAAGTTTTGTTTTGTTCTTGTTAGATTTATGTTTTTTGTATTTTTGCGTTTTCAGTGTAATTTTGTCAAAATATAAATGTTTCAATTCAGTTTATTTATATACAGTAGCTCCAAGTCACAACAGACATTATTTCAGGACACTGAACAAAAACGCTCGCATACATTATTAATGCCAATTAGTAAAGTTGGAAGGAAGCCAGCAGATGCGTTGAGTCTTCACTTTGTCGCAGTCTTCCATCCTGAGCAAGCGCAAAGGAGACAGTGGAAAGGAAAAACTCCCTTTAACAGGAAGAAACCTCCAGCAGAACCAGGCTCACGACAAGCGGCCATCTGCTTTGACCGGCTGGGTTTCAAGTCCAAGTTCATGTTCAAGTAGGTTTATTGTCATTTCACCACATGTGGTACATGAGGTGGAACAACATTTTGTACACAGGGACCAGTTACATCCAACAATATAAAAAATATAAAGTGTAAAAAGAAACGGTACGTAAGGATCTAAGTTATACATGAAGACATACACCAAACAAATGTCAAACGGTACGATAAAAGATCTAAGATATACGCTGAACACTAACGATGCAAAACAATATGGCGTTTCAACAGCAGCCCGAACATGAGTCGGTGTGAGCAAATGGGTATGAATGAATACAGCAGCATGAAATAATCAGCAGTATGAGATCAGCAGCATGGATAATCAGCCATTCAGCAAAACAGTTTGAGAGAACAGGAAGAAAAAATGGACACATAATGGCAGGTCCAGAATAGAGCCGAGCAGGTGAGAAGGTCCACATTAGGAGGAAAGATTAAAACAAAATGTTAAGATAGAACTACAAATACAAATTATTCATTTGTATTCATTAGTATCCATTCATTTGATGAAATAAGATCAGTTTGTGATCCAGTAGTTTAAGCCTATAGCATAGCAGTATAACTAAAGGATAGGTCAGGAAACCCAAGCTGACACTAACAGGATTTATCAAAAATGAAAGACTTCAACTGGACAATGTGTCAGCCTCATGGATAGAAGTTGGTTCCACAAGAGAGGAGCCTGATAACAGAACAACCCCCCACCCCCAACCCAATTCTGCATTTGGAAACTCTAGGAACCATAAGTAAACCTGCAGTCTGAGAGCGAAGTGCTCTGTTAGGAAAATATGGAACAATAAGATCTGTAATGATGGAGCTAGGTTGTTGGGAGCTTTGTAGGTTAGAAGTAGGATTTTGATTCTATTCTATCATGATCGACTTCCATGTGTAGAACCCAAAGTGCAAGAAGACGAGGAGACTCCAGTAAAATAAGTAAAATGTTTATTATGATAAACAAAACAAAAGGCTGTTGGGGCAGCAGACTTACTTTAAAGGAGGAGACATGGAGGGATGAAGAAAACATGACGCCTTGGACGAGACAAGGACAATCCAGAGACAACAACATAACACCTATAGGGGCTGAATATATACAGACGCTGACGAGGTGAAATGACAGACACCTGCGGTGATTAGGATTAAGCACAGGCGCGACAGTGCTGGATCACAGGAGGAGAAATGTTAGAGGGACTGATAAACATGAGGGAAAACACAACATGCAGGACCAGAAACCCAACATATTCTGGACTTGACAGGGAGCCACTGGAGTGAAGTTAAAACTGGAGAGATATGATCTCTCCTGTCAACTCTCATTAAAACTCTGGCAGCAGCATTTTGGATCAACTGAAGACTTTTTAAAGTTTTAATGTTGTTTCCTCAACACTTCCTCAACACTCCTCAAAACATCAGAGCCTGAGTCTATGGCTTCATGTATTTCAAACCTGACGTTTACATCCTGAGTCTTCTGTATGTTTAAGGTGTGGCAACATTTTGTTCTGGCAATTTTTGGACAGCAGTAATTTTCCCACTCAGTCACATCAGACAAATTTAACAACTGATGACAGTAAATATTTGCTGATATCAACAGTTTAAGTCACATGAAATCTTTATCAAAGAGGAATAAATATATTTTTAGGTGGCTCATTTTTCTAAAATAATATCGCATTTTCCAATAAAGAAAATATATAAATGTCAACTGCGTTCTGTTTTCCTCTCCTGAGTACTTTCACCTTCATTATTTGAGGAATGTAAATGTGATGTTTCACTGCGCATCAGCACATTTTAATTTCCAGGTGTAACTTCCTGTAGAGAAGATGCAGCGTCTGATGTGAGAGTCTCGTTGCCAGTTCATTTAAAACAATTTCTTTAGATTAAACAAGATTGTTGTGAATAATACTCTAACATATCCATCATTAGAAACAACAGCTTGACAGTTGCTTCTTGGGCATCCAGAAATGTGCTGGCGTGTCCAACTGAAACCATCCTGATCCATCTTAATCTGTCTCCCACTCTGTCCCTCCCTTGTGAAAGCAGAGGGCTCTGTGCTCGTCCTCTCAGGGTTTTGTTTGTCCCAGTATGCAGTGAGTGTTCGGCTCGCAGGGAGGCAGTGCTGTGCTGTTCACCCTCTGCTGAGAGCCTCTGAATCATCACAAAGAGCCTGGATTCTGCAGACTGAAGCCACGGTGATGAAGGTTTGTTCAGGAGAGAGATGAGACACAAGAGAAGTGGAGAACTTAAATCGCTAAACACTAGAAATGGAGGAGTGGACTGGAAAACAAGCAGAAAAATGGATGTTTAAAGGGACATTTCACATTTGATGACATACATGAGCGGTCCAACTCTAAGTCAATGACAATATCAAAACATGTTCATAAAAAGACACAGATTTTTACATGATCATGCACGATGGACAAGAATTACTGTTCGCCCCACTTTGGTTACTTTTAGAGGAATTGTGATCCAAGTCAGCAGCTGGGACTCACCACGAGGGACACTGCCCCGATATATGCACGCAACATTAATATTTTACAACTGCTTTTATGGGAATTTACAGTTTGTGCAGCTGATGGCCTCCATCACGCAGAGTCAAGTTTTTTCTCTTACATTTACTTTTCTGAGCTATCTGACAAAATAATTAAAGAAGAGAGATGCAGGTATTTTTCAGACTTATAAAAAAAAATGAAATTTTCCAATTATGATTCAGAATAATTTCGGAATTAACGCTAGTGAGTCAAATTCTCAGGGGCCGAGGTGATGTAGAGGCAGGGCAGCCGGCTGAAGACCAGTAAAGTCACGGTTCGACCCTCAGCCTCACATGTCGTTTCTCTGAGCAAGACACCTAATCCCTAATTGCTCCCCAGGCGCTTACATAGCTGCCCACTGCTCCACCTGGGTGTATCCCCGGTGTGATGGGTTAAATGCAGAGAACTGATTTCATCATTGTATGGATACATACATTAATGACAATCTCAGACTTCCCTTCCCCCAAATGTGTGTAATTGTACTTGTTGTGTATAAAATATTTGAGTACTGCAATAAAATTAGAAAAAAAAAGTTAATACTCATTTGCTCCAGATTGCATTTTTGCTCTCTTCTTTAATATTTGTTGCAGAAGCTTATTATATTAGTTATTCAAAATTTGAGACTTTTTTGTGATCTGCCCCAATTTCATTAATTTGCCCTTATACTTGGTAAAACAGAAGACTCTGCAGCGACAGAATGTTCTTTTCTATCTAAATTGTGCTGTTTTCATCTCTTCTAAAGCAGTTTATATATATATATATATATAATGTATAAGTTTGTTCCATATTAAAGGTGACCAATGTGATGCAACAACGTACAGAGCGAGAAAAGTTTAGTTTAAATGCATCACCCTAATTAATATAAAAATAGACTAAAACAGATAAATATGAATGTAAATGTAAACATTCTTGCAAATAAATGATTTGGTTCATTCAAACCAGCCAATAATCTCAATTTGCCTGTGAAATATTTGTCCTTTTTCTGTTTCAACATTTCTTGTTCACATTCTGGAAGGAAACGCAACAATTTTGACTTTTGTGTCAAACTCTATAAGGTTTCTGCTGATTGTTTTGTTCATTTTCATGCAGTAAAACTAAAAGCCATGAGTCAATCGAAGACTGAAACTTTACCATAAATTTGGATTTTTATTTAATTTGTTAAGCTGTGAAGGTGTAACCTTTAGATTATGATCATAATAAAAACAAGCCTGATAACAGTTATACCACGTGTCAGTGGTTTTGAATCCACAGAAGACATGGAACATGTGGGAACATGAGTTTGATCTCCATCACTCATTCAGTCTGACACGTGCAGATGAGTAAACAACCACCTCTCCATCAGAACATCACCATCATACATGCAGCTGTGGTTAATGTGGTTTCCATGAGAGGAGAGCAGCTGAGAGAGCAGAGAGGGAGGGCAGGAGAGACAGAAAGAAAGAGCGGAATGTGCGACACTCTCAAAATCAAGCAAACAAGAAGCGCTCCTACAATCTTGCAACCCGTCCACCTGGAGAGCTGACCTGCTCCGACTGCGCGCAAACTTCCCCCTCCAGCGCTCCAGCATCATGCGCAGCGGAGGAGAGCCCCGCGGACGCGCCACATGAGGCGTACCAGACAAACTGAAAGCTCCGCTCTTTAAACTTTGCGCTGTGACACCACATAAAAGGCAAATAATATTTATAAAAAAAACACTTTGTTTTCCGCTTCTCTGACACTTTGAGCTGCTCTGCTTGGGATTGCTTGGACCCGGCGCCGTGTCTTTTTATGTTGAGCCGAGGAGACGCGTAGTTGTTCGGGGTGGTCCGCTCTCTGGAAGGTGACATGCAGGTTCTCGGCTGGACCACAGTTCTCTTCTGCCAGTGGATCCTGCACAAGGTGAGTTACTCAGGAATTAAACAAACTGCAGGAATCAAACCTCGCAGTTGTTGGCTTTAAATATTTCACAGATTTCCACACGATCCAGTTTTTTTTTTTTTTTACAGAATGAGCTCTTTTAAACTTAGTTTAAAGTTGATTTATAACAATAAAAGCTTTCAGGTTATAAAATAACCGACTGCAATGTGCTTTTGTAGCTGTTTTCTTTTCATCTGAGAAAAAAAAAACAGAATGAAAAAAGTGCGCCTCGTGCTTGCAGAGCGCAGATTTGTGCAGCCCGCGCGCTTCCTTCCACTCCAGGAGACGCAGCTCTCCTTATCCATTTATCTCTTTGCCCTTCCAGCAACTTCCTCTCATTTTTCTTCAGAAGTTGATCTCGCCTGTGGCTTGTTTTATTATCTCGCCATCGTTTTCGTGGCAAACGGTGTGTGCGCATGGTGTAAAGTTGATGATGTGTGTGAGCGCGCGCGCGCGTGTGTTCACGTGTGCGTTTTCTTGTATATTAAAGTTTATTTTTTTATTTTTATAAGATCATACCTTGATAGTTAAGCCTACTATATGCACTCGTGATATCCGGATGAACAGAATAATAAAAAACTCTCACTCCCTGCAGAAACACACCCTCTGTGTGTGATTTGGCCTCAGTGAGAAAAAACACACACACACAAATCAGACTTACCACTAGAATTCACTTCTGATTCTAATTCTCACTTAAACTCCCGCTTTGTTTTATGTTTCTTTCCCTCTCTGTCAGATTACCACCACTTATTTTCCAATAATCCACTGGCATTCCAGTTACTTTCGCAGTTTGTTTAATCCGCTATTTTTAAAATAGGCTCGAACAGCTGCCCTGATGTGTAAAACCAGTCTTATTAGCAGAGTAAGTCACTTGATTCAAGTGACAAAACCAAGTGTCAAGCACGAGGGCACCGACGGGTGCAGAACCTTTGCCAACCATCAGCTTTGCTTATAGAACACATTCTCTTGAAAAAATCTAACATAGCTGCTGCGTTTTGTGTGTGAGGTGTTCACAAACTTGAGTTTGCTTTGTGACAGGCAATAACACATAAGCCTCTTTGAAAGCTTGAATGCAAATGATGCAACTTATCTGCAGGAGAGTTCAAGTGTTAGGATTGACTCGGTATTAGATCAAATCAGCTGAGCTTTTCTAATGTTTCAGGTGAAGTTGTGACTTGTTTTTTCAAATAACAACATGAGAAATGCTTGTCTTCACAAAAAAAGAGATAATATGCCAAGTTGCCTCCTTGGGAGCTTCATTAGCTGGAGGTGCTGGCAGAGGTAAAGGATGTAAACGTGAAAGGAGGTGAAAAAATGAATCAGAGAGAAGGCGGCCCTTTAAACTAATTTGTTCACATCTTTCAACTAAACCATCTCTTCGAGATCATTTAGGAAAATCTTGGAAGCATTTTATGTGCACGTGCACAAGTGGGTGTTTGTACATGGCGAGAATCAGAAGCAGGCCAAGAGCGAGACGCATTTAAAATGTAAAACTGACAGTTTATTTTCCAAATGTCTCTCAAACCGGATTCACGGTTTCTCGTATTTTTTTATGGAGAGAGTAATAAAACAGTTCCTGCAGATAATGCAATATTATAATTTTTTTTTCACCTTGCGCTTTGGAAATCATATCTACAGTAGCAGCACCACAAAAGAAGAAAAGATGTGTGAAAAGCTTCTTTGCTCTTTTGTGCTCCCAGGAGAAACAATGGCATTAGCCGGCATCTCAAACTGACGAAATCCTCTTATCTCCCCCCATAAAACAACTAGCAGTATACCCCCAGGGATATTACTGCAACGGACTCTCTTTAATTTCATTGTATATAGCCCCACTTCCTTTGCAATCATGTTTCATATATTCTGCATAGCCTTGCATTCCAGTAGTCTGTATGGCGAAACGTGCATCACAATCGAGGGTTTTCCACATTTCACGCATCCGTGCATCCTGTGGTTGAGAAAAAAATATGAGTTCTCAGCAGACTGGTCAGAAGTTTTTTTTTTTTTTTGTCTATCATGGATTGAACCAGGTGTTTGGTGCTTTCCCTCCCACTCCCTGCCTTTGTGTCCGTCTGTGAATCATCTTAACTGAAAAACTGCCTCGGTTCAACCAGTATCAGGCTTCACTGCTTTGTAATCTGTGCAAATTATAGTCTCTCTTTCCTGATTAGATGTGTAATCTGTTGAATCATGATGACAGAAGCAATCACATTACTGCCATATCTGTTGTTCCTTAAATTGGTCCCACAGATCAAATACTCCTCCAGCTTTAAAACTCTGGCATGGATCCATACAGTATTTTTACTGAATTATACCATAGATTAAAGTGATTTATTTGATGTTGTTTGTTTAAACCTTTACTTGTGAACAACAAAGTCCATGCTCAATAATCCAGGTATACAATCCAACATTTTTCAATCAGGTCATCTGGACAGTTTCTTTTTTTTTTTTTTTTTTGTGCTGAAACGTTTCGCCTTCGATCCGGAAGGCTTCATCAGTCAAGGAAACACACAACAAAACTGATTCTTCCCCCAACAGCTTACTCCAAAGTGAAACAAACCAGGTCTGCTTGTGATAAGATGGTCTCTTTGGTACGCCCCCTCCTCCATTGCCGGCCCTCTTCCTTGTTGACAGTCTTGTCAAACTGGTTGAAAACAACAAAGTCCATGCTCAATAATCCAGGTATACAATCCAACATTTTTCAGTCCGGTCTTCTGGACAGTTTCTTTTTTTTTTCTTTTTTTTTTTTTTTACTTTTTTACTTTTTTTTTTTTTTTTTTGCTTTACTTGTGAAGTGAAGCCACTTGGTGTAGAGAATGTCAGTCTTCGTCCAGTGTGGGTTAAAATGTCATATGCTTTCACATGTGACAAAGGAAAAACCATATAAGGTGTGATGCCAACATGAGCGCCTACCAGTTCTACAACAAAGATGGAGCGTTTGTTGTTTAGATGTTGGTGATGGAACATGATGTTGAAAACATCAGCACAAAATGTGCTTTAGTTAAGATCTGGGGACATGAAGACCTTTTTTTGGACTCCTTGTGGGTGGAAGGAGCATCACTGTGGAAAAGACCACAGCAGATGATGCGTCCCCATAAAACAGCATTCTTTAAAGAAATTCAACCTTTATTTAAACAGATTAGTCCCTTCAAGGAATGCACATGTAATGAATGCTAATGTGTCAATTCTCAGAGAATGTGTTGAGTATGACTATCAGCTACTACCACTCCAAAAATAGCTAATTAGAAATGCAGTCAGTTGACTTTGTTTGATTCCCTGTGGCAGCCATCTTGCATCAGATTGACTCTAAAAGGCAATCAGTTGTAGCTTTACATCCATGATTATTTACAAAAGTTTTATTAAAATCATTGTATTTGTACCAGCAAGTTAAGTCAGGTCCTCTGGATGGCTTCTTTGTGTTGAAACGTTTCGTCTTTCATCCAGAAGACTTCATCAGTCTGAGGAGCAGTGGTGTAGCCTACATGTTTGTTTTACTGTGCTTACAAACCAAAGTACACTGGTTAGTACAATGTAGTTGCCAAGTTTCTCTGACGCTTATATTTGAATAAATGAACAACAAACTTTGTAGAACAGTTGGCTTTGTATTAAAAACCCGTTATATAATTTACAAAACCGTATCAAAGCAAAACATGTTTAAATATTAAATAGTACGTACAGAAGTATTTATTATACAATAATTAGCAGGATAAGTAATAAAAGTAATGTAATAAACAAGCGCTGCATACCAATAAATTGTTACAGAAGCGTTTAACTGTCGTTTAACGTATCAATGACACGTGCCTAATGATATGGCATGTATCATTGGGCACTTTTAAATGTGTATACTGAAATTCTTAAGCTTTTTTGTTGGGTATACTCCGTATACCCGTGTATCACGTAGACTACACCACTGCCGAGGAACCACAACAAACTCAGTCCCATAAGTAGCGCACTCTCATAATGGGCCAACCAGGCTCAGAAGAGTCGACGGGGGAGAGGGCGGACTCCAGAAATCATCTTATCACCATCAAACTGGTTGGTCGACTATGTGAGTGTGCTACTTATGGGACTGAGTTTATTGTGGCTCCTCGGAACGATCAAGTCTTTTGGATGAAAGACAAAACGTTTCAATAAAAAGAAACTACCCAGAGGACCTGACTTAACTTTTTTTTATTTTTTTACCTGGATTATTGAGCATGAACGCTGACATTTCAATTGTTCATAAATCATTTTGCTAACTGAAATTTGCAACTGACTCCAACAGTTGTTGCCAAAGTTTAAAGCAAAAAAAATCTCACAGTGTATAGTGCTTACAATGACCAGCTGCTACTATCCCAAATTTAGCTTAATATCTGTAAAAAACATACCAGTAATAACTATTTGGCTGAGTTATAGCTCTGTCTGTGTATTTTGTTTCTGACAGTCATCTTGAATGTGGGTCTGTCCAAAAGTTAATCGGTTTTAGCTGTACATATGATTATTATTATTATTATTTAATCCATCCAGTGGTTTATTAAATATTTTGCTAATAAACTGACAAACTGTGTCAGTCTATTAGCAAAATTTTGACTTCAATAGTTAGAGGCAACATTTTCAAACTAGATATATACGTATAAGTCAGTGCTCAAAGTACATGCTGGGAATTAAATTTAGTTATACCATCCCAAATTCAATCTCAAAACGTGTTACATTAGTTGGGTTATAGCCATTTTGACGTTAACACCCACCTAGCTGTGGTGGCCATCTTGAATTGGGTTGACTGCGAAAGTTAATAAGCGGTATATGTACTTCTTATGATTAATTTCTGGGAGTTTAATTAAAATCTGTCCATTGGGCCATGATATATTTTGCTAATGCTACAGACAGACAAACACATGCACACATATACACACAAGCAAAATTGCAACAATAAAACTCATTTCATTCCTGCAAAAATGACAGAAATTTCTTAGTTTACTTGAACTGAAATGCCCTTTCTTGGTTAC